TGGTGAGGATGGTGTAGATGGTGAGGATGGTATGGATAGTGTGGATGGTGAAGGTGGTGTAGGTGGTGAGGGTGGCTGGATGGTGTGGATGGAGTGGATGGTGTGGACGGTGTAGATGGTATGGACGGTGTGGATGGTGTGGATGGTGAGGATGGTGTAGATGGTGAGGATGGTATGGATAGTGTGGATGGTGAAGGTGGTGTAGATGGTGAGGGTGGCTGGATGGTGTGGATGGTGTGAGTGGCTCAGCTGGTGCGGATGGGCAGGTAGTGTGTGTCTTCCCGTCTCCCCTGGCATGGGGCTGTCTCAGCTTCTCTCATCTTGGATCCCACAGCCTGACTTACTCCTCCTGCCCACATGTCCAGCTGAAGCTGATGGAATCCAGGGCCGTCAACGTTCACCCTCTGACTGAAGGAGCATTCATTTATAAAGCACTTGCTGTATACAATTCTTGCTAATTTCCCACAAAAACTGGTCTGCCTGTCTAAGAAAGTTCCAGAAAAAAGTGAAAAAAGATCTTTCTAAATGATGCAGAAAATGAAAAGAAAGGAGGGCAAGATGGAAAGGAAAGAGAAGGCAATTAATTGGTCAGTAGGTCATGGAAATGGTCATTTTTTTAATTCCCCATTTATCTTAAATGGGCTCATTCCTGCCCTCTGACCCAATTAAAAGATGCAGTCGGTTTCCAATAGATGACAGAAAGTTTGTTTTGCTTAAATTTCTTTTTATTTAGATGTTTAAAACTTAACTAATGAGTAAGTTTATTTTGTTTATTGGTACATAGTTCTTAGTACATATGTCGGTCTTTTCTTCCTTCCATGACAGGTAAGTTGAATTTTCCAGTTTCTCTTGGGAAGTATTTCCAGAAAGTGTGCAGGCTTCAGTACCATCAGTACCAGGCTGGTGAAATGAATGAACATTCCCCTGTTGTGGTGTTTATAATCTACCTTCCGTTACAAGTTTTCCTTCCCAGAAAAATGTAGCATATGTTTCATTCTACTTCGTGCTACTCCTGAATTTGAAAATTCATCTGCCCAGTTTGGTGTGAGTTTCACAAATATTTGGCCTGGTGCATTATTCTCGCAAACAAATGACGCGACTGTTCCGAGTGCTAGCTTGCAGGGGATGTCTGGTTGTTTGGCCCATATTCTTCCTCATGGGTTTATCGGTCCTGGGTCGTCTCCTCCAGTCGGTGGAGTGTATGTGTCGACCAAGACATTTCTTATGAGTCTGTCCTCGGCTGCGGATGGCGCGTCCTCCCCTCTGGCCTGTGCCCAGGACTCTCCATCCTCTGCCCACTGGTTTTTCATACAGTCATATTCTGTTCTCCATTTATCTACCTTGCTTCCATGGTCATAATCATAGATTCTTCTTTGTGGATTGTTGGAATCGACATATACATTCCCTGAGTGCGTTCCCTTCTCTCCGCCACCAATGAGTATTCTGGAAACTGGAATCCTGATGGAGACGCTCTTTGTCCGTATGCTTCACGCTAAGTGAAGGTTTCAGGTGTTCCTCCCACTTTCCAGCCCCATTTTGGGGTGACTTCTGCTCCGTGCCCTTCATAGCAGTCTGCTCTCATTTGAGTTGCACTTCCTAACTGTCTGGTACCTGCCATGTTTGTGTTAGTCTGGTGGGTCTAGTTGGAAAGTGGTATTTTCCTGCTGGGAAGCGGTCTCCAGTTCTCATTATTTCTATTGGTATGGTGTTTCCTATGGTTAGAAATGATGTGTCCGTCGTGTCCATTCCTAGCCTGGAGGTTGGTTTTCTTTGACCATCTCCTTGGCTGAATATGTTGGTAAAGTTCAGAGAGCAACCTCATGGTTTCAGTTGGTTAGTTTCCCAGGGGACATATCCTGGTGTGTCTCGTCTTGCGTTGTCCGGGCCCCACGGCATTACGTTGTTGGCTATTGTTGTACTGTTTGATTTTCCTTCCTTCTGGACCAGTCTCTGTACCATTTTTATCGCCAGGTTGAAAATTTCTTGCTCTAGACTTTCTAGTTTAAGTCTGAACAAATGGTCTTCAGGCGCTAGAAATCTTCAGGACTTGAGCAAACACTCTGGGCATTTGCATTAATCAACGGCCACGACCACGGTGTTAGTATTGGTGCACGTGAGCTCTCTTCCCGCACTGTTCCTGCAGCTGGGAATGCTGTTCTCTGTGCTCTGATAATGATAGGATTCACTCTCTGGCATATTTAAATGTATTTGCCTACTTGCATGACATGTTATCATTACATGGTCTCTCTCAAATTTCCGTTCAGGTGTGTTGGAAAAGGCCCTCCCCCTCTCGCCCAACCCCCACAGCTGCTGTGTCCCTCCTGGCTGCCGCTGCCTCCCCCAGTGCCTTTGCTTTTGCTCTGAAGCTCTCTGCTGCTGGAGGCGTTTTCTCGTTTGGTCAATGAATCTGTCTTCCTGGCTATCTTCTAACTTCACCACCAAGCTGAGTCGGTTTCTTTCTAACTTTTAGAATGTGCAGTTAGTGAAGATGGTCTTTCATCTCTTTTTGGCGTGAGAGCGGCGGGAAATGGTGCTCTTTCTGCTCGGAACACTCCAAAGTCTTGGCGTTTTCTGGTGCTTCGATGAATCTGTCCTCTGCCGGATTGTGAAAGATCCTCGGGTTTATTCCTCGTTCTGAGAGCTTGGCATATTCTTCGCTGTGTTACTCTGCTGCAGAGTCTGAGGATCTGTCGGTTCTCTGCCGTCACGGGTTTCCCGTCCTAGGTAGCTGCCTGTATCCGGGTAGCATGAATCCCGTAACACGAGAGAGTGGTTGGCGTTTTGTTTTCATGTGGGGTTGGTTAATTTAGGAGAGGCCTGATGTGCTGCTTCCTTTCTCTTGGTCTTTCTACATTGGGCATCAAAGGGCTCTTGGAAGAATGCTTCCCAGGCAAAGTCTGGTTCCAGGGTGAGTGTCTTCTGCACCTTTGATGGGTCGGTCGATGGCTCTGGTCCTGAACAAGAAGCTGTCCCCTCGGTCTTCCGTGAAGGCGAGCTGTCTCCCTGCTTTTCTAGCATTGTCTCTGCCTCCTTTTCAATTCTCCTCCCGTTCTGGTACAGCCTTCCGCCACGCCACAGCTTTTCACTGTGGTTCCAGGTCTTTACTAAGCAAGTATCTGAACCATCACCATCTTTTGGTCCAAAATCTCCTCCCAGCTGTTCGTCCATGCAGAGATTTGACCATCTGTCCTTTACTGGCTGGGTGTGCTTTGGTCTTGGTTCACAACCAATCCTTACTTTTGTTACGTCTTTGCTGGTGCTGGGCCAGCTGGTTTTGATCCTTTTCCTTTTTGGTCAGTTCTGACTGAGTACCCGGACATGAGCTGTTTACACTGGTTGTTCTGCTTCTACAGCCCGTGTAAAGTTTTTATGTACGCATCCACTGAACGGGAAGTTGGTATTTGCAGGGTTGTGGCACCCCACATTTCCCACTCAATCTTCATCACCCAAAACACTCACATTACCCTCACCACCCACAGCATCCTCACCACCCACACCACCCACACCTCCCTCACCATCCACACCATCTTCACCATCCACACACCCCTCACTATCCACATCATCCACACCACCCTCACCAGACACACCCCCCTCATCAATCACACCATCCACACCACCCTCATTAAACACCAAGGTAGACTTGCTTGGTTACAGAGTCAGAACTCTTTGCAAAGCACCAGGAACACAATATACTGAGTGTGCTCAAACTTCAGTTCAACGTTCATTAAGTAACTGCCGCGTGCAGGGAGCCATCCTAGGCACTAGAGGAGACGCTGTTTACTTACCATTCTTACTCTTATTAACAACAACTTTTAAATTGTACTTTAGAGCTTCCAGGGTAATTTACAGACACTAGCCTTGCAAAACTGCGCAGTGGCCTCTCTGGGTAATGTTATCCCTAGTTTACAGAAGAAGAAACTGAGGCTCAGTGAGGGGCCATGGCCTGTCCATTGGCTATAGAGGCTGATTCAGTCTTCATAATACTCATGGCTCAGAGGGCAATAAGACACATAAGAATAGCGAACATTTACACGGAGTTTAAAGACTGGCAAATCGCTTTACTTACGTGATCTCCTTTGATCCTCACAACAACCACGGGAGGGAGATGCTGTTATAATTTTTGTCTTATAGATGAGGAAACTGGGGCAGGCAGAGGAGGCTGGCTCTGAACTCAGGCCCGAGTTCCTGACTCCTGGTCTACAGCTGTGTCCACTTAGCTGCCTCGAGGATAAGTGACAATCCCTGACAAACCCGCTGTAGGTCCACAGCCCCAAGTGCCGGGTGAGGCCCCTCCAAAGCCTTCACTCCCTCGTCTGTCAGCCTCCCCATCCCCAGACTCTCACAGCTCCTTCTCTCAGCCTGGTTCCACTCTCTGGTCTGACCTCAGACCCTCAATCCCCTCCTGCTCGCCCTGGCTCGGGCCTCACCATCCTGACTCTACAGCTCAGGGCCTCATCACCTACCCCACCCTTTGGACAGTCTCCCCTAGCAGGGTGGTGCTTTTGTTTTTTAAAAACAGATAATTGAAGGAAATGAAAATTCTCAGTTAGAAGTCAATGTAACTTTTCCCCGACCTAGCCTCAAGTCCTCCTGAAGCATGGCCACAGACAGGCCTTCCCCTGCCGGTGGCATGGTTGGGCTCTAGGCATGAGGCCAAGATCCAAAGCAGGGACTTGGTATAGTGCAAAGAGCCCCAAGTGTGGAGTCACAGAAGCTGAGTTCAAATCTTGGCTCTGACTACTTGTGTGACCTTGGGTAAATCACTCAACCTGAGCCTCAGTTTCCTCCTCCGGGGATCTCTAAGGTAGACCTCTGCACCTATGAACCTAGGAAAGTTCCACTTACCAGGGCAAGGACGTTCAGGAATTCCCTGGTGTCAAAGTGAAGCAAAGTGCAGATATAAGGGTAGATCTCTTCCTCAGAGGACGCCTCCGCAGAATGCAGGCGGATCAGAAACTCAAAGACCTGTAGATGGAGAGAAGGGGTGCCCGAGATGTTGGACAGCAGCCATGATTCCCGCTGGGATCCACAAGGGCAGTCTGAGGGACCGCCACGGTCCCGTCAGCCCTCTGGGGGACACCACGATGGACGTTAGCGACGGGCTCACGGGGGTGTCCCGGCTTGCCTAGCGCTTCCCAGCTATCTCCAGCCACTGCGGGTGGGGCGGCACCTACCTGGTTTTTAACCAAGGGCACCAGGTCCTCGGGGATGTCCCCCAGGGGATAAGCACGACCTGCCAGGCAGCAGCTGCAGAGGAAGAACACAGTCCGGGTGAGAAGGCGCAGAGCCTCTGCCCCAGCCCGAGTCCAGAAACTGCTCTGGCTCTGGGCCGGCCTCAACTAGCCCAGCCGCACACCAAGACCCTCTGGATACTCGGAGTCTGGGCTCGGCCCTTTTTACTTTTGAGGGTGAAGAGAAGGGGGCTCATTCTGAAGTCACCAGGAAGTCTAGGAGGGTACTGGATATGAACAGGGCCTGGTTCTGCGCCCGGTTCTGGCTCGGTCACACCCAGGTAGGAGTTTAGGCACTTGCCCTCAGTCTTGCCTGGAAACCAGGGCAGTGACGCGTCTCACAGGGCTGCTGTGAGATGAGCAATGGGAACCCGTCGGGGTGGCCCTGGCTGGGGGGAGAAAGCCTTCAGAAGAAATGGCGACGGTGGTCAATCTTTTATTTAGGACAAAAGCCAGCCCTGCCTGCTATGTGTAAGTGTATTGGCGCTAGAAGGTGGCTGGGGGTGGCATGGGGGAGGGGTGGGGAGCGAAGTCACTGTTGACTTGGGCAAGTCACTCGGAGGTGTGGGCCTCAGTTTCCTCAACTGTAAAAGGAGAGGGGTTGGCTTAGAGGGCCTCTGAGGTGACTTCTGGGTCTCGATCAGTGATGCTACACAATACACAATCTAAAGACGCAGTCTAGCACTGAGGGGTTGGGGGGGAGCCCCAGACCTGGAGCAGAAGAGAAGGCCTGCAGATCCACTCTGTATTTACCTTATGTAGACCAGAAGCTTGTTGCCCATAATAACCTGCTCATCTGCAACAGAAAGAAAATATTTCCAGCAATTCTCCCTCTGCTCCTGTAGGCAGGTAAACTGGCGGCAGGGGAGGGGCTAGAGCAGTTCTCGGGCACCCAAGGGGAGGGAGTCTGAGCCCAGGCACTACTGCTGGGCACTTCCTGGGTGGACAGACCTCACTGGGGCAAAGATGGCTTCTCATCAGTGGAGAAGGCTTCCAGGGCTATGCGGAAGAGGTGTGTCAATGGATGACTTTGCCACTGGCAAGGTCTTAGAGAGGTGGGCAGTAGAATGGACTCTTAGGTTAAGAGTAATTGGTTGGAGGACAGAGTGGGCCAGGAGCTGAGGGAATCCTGGCCTTGGGGATTGCTGGCTGGCTCTGGCTTGTCTTGGGGAGCACCAGCACCAACGGGGTGTAGGGGCAGATGAGTACACACCGCACCGAGTACATAGAAACGGTGGAGGAATTTCATAAAGCACATTCCTCATCCTGGGCTAGGATGACTAAAGGAGGACTGATTGATCCCAAGGGACACCAGAGTGAGGATCCATGCTGAAGGAAGGGGACGAATGGATGCCCTCTAAGGCCCTTCTCTAAGTCTACTCTGTGGACTCCAGGAGAAGTCGGGGATAAATCGGAGAAGGTGAGGGCTCATGGAAAGGAACCGAGAGTTAGAGGACAAGCAGCCTCTACTCCTGATTTCATTGTCTCAGCTTTCCTCAACGTAAAATGAAGCGGCCACCCCATGCCCCTCTATATCACAGAGCCTCCTGATCCCTGGCGGCCTGCCTCGAGCCCCTCCATTCCTATGGTGCTGCCAGTGGAGCAAAGGCAGGGGTCCCAGAAGCCGGCTGCCTCTGCACTCCAGCCCCTCACCCACATCGAGGGCGCCTCCCTGCCTCCCACCACCCTGGCTCCTCAGCTCTCCTCCTCTTCTTTGGGAGCCCTGGGAATCTCGGGGGGTAAATCCTGCTGGGCCCTTCAGCCTCCTCTGCCATTTTCCTCTAACCACAGACCAGAAGGCTTGTTTGCATCACTGCACCCAAGCTCACAGTGGATGCGACTTACCTGTCAGAGACTTCCCTGCACTCAGAGGAGGAGCAATGACCTTGAAAAGTTTCTGCATTTAAAATGAACAGAAGAATGATTTCAGAAGGTAAGAGGTAAACCATGTCCTTGCCTCCAGACCCCGCGTACGAGGCGACAGAACCAGGACTGGCACGTGTCCCAGGCCTGGCTCCAAGGACGCGCATCCTTTCAGGGTCACTGACAAGGAAACACTTAGCTGGGGACCTCCACCTCCCTCAAGGAAAACGTTCTCCCCTTTGGGGACATGAATGCCACCCCACTAAGACACAGGCCCAGGGCTGAGGACATTGCGGTCAAGGGTACACTGCAGCATCCTTCCTGTGTCCTGGGAGCTGTCCGGCAGTCAGCCAACCCCTTTCTACACAACAACAGGAGAACACGTGTGGTGATCAGGCATGACAGGGAAGAAGGGCCGCTCTCTTCCCGACAGCCAGGACCCATTGCCCAGCGGGCCGCTGTCTTTCAGGCCTTCTCTGCCAGGGCACCTTCCTGCGCACTGCCCCAGCCTTTCAGCTTTCTTTTTGCACGTTGTCTCCTTCACTGGGCTGGAAGTTCCTGGAGGGCAGGGACTGTCTGCTTCTTTCATATTTGTGTTGCCTGCGCTTAGCACATAGTAGGCGCTTACTAACTGCTGACTGACTGGTGTGGTTGGAAGAGCAAAGAATGAACAGGAGATATCACCAGGGGAAGGTGCTGGCATTAAGAGGGGTCAGGGACGGCTTCTTTCAAAAGAGGGTTTTGGGTGGGATGTGAAGGAAGCCAAGACACAGAGATAAGGAGGAGAGAACTGTGGGCACAGGAGATACCCTGGGAGAATGTCCAGAGCGGGGGATGGAGGAGGACATGGTACCGTAGCTGAAGCCTCCCTCCTAATGTATAAGAAGACTGACAAGGTGGGAGGGGAAGGTCAGGCTAGGAGGGATTGAAGACTTGATATTTGATCCCAGGGGTCATAGGGAGCCACCAGAGATTATAGAGGAAGGAGGTGATGTGCTCCGTCATGTGGATCTGATTTGCCAGCAGTGAGACTGTGGCCAGGGCATTCTCCTGTTTCCTCTTCTGTAAAATGAGGGGATTGGCCTGGGTTATCCCAAGGCTCCATTGAGCTCCACATCCCCCAGTGTGAACACTCATGACCATTAGCCATCTCCTTGTTGGGGAAAGCTGCTCCCACATGGGCCAACTCTACACGTCCGTGGGGGTTGGAGGAGATGGTTTCATATAAGGAGAAACCAAAGGACATTACATGGAAATGCCCAGGAGGCATTTTTCTCCAAGGAGACGGTGTTGAATCATGTCTATTTTCAGAATCCAATTCAACGGTAACTAGAAGTTCTGTTCCCAACCATAAGCAGTGTGGGCTGAGGGTCTGGGGTGCCCAGGGAGGAGGGAGCTGCCTGGGCCGAGGCCTGTGGGACCAGTCACTGAATGATGAGGCCATCGCAGCCTAGCTCTGACCCCTCCAGCAAAGCCAGGAACAAGGTAAAAGCCATCCCAGAATCCTTCCAGGACACAATTCAAGGAAGGAGAGGGACCACTTGGGGGAAAGCTTTCCCTCGATTCCAATCTGATTTTACCTAGGTATGAGTCAGGGAGCTGGGCCAGGGGGCAGATGCGCACAAAGTGCTGAGGAGGCTGCTTGCCTCAGTACCACTGAAAGGTCCAGTAGGACTCTTGGGCCTCTCCCTGCTTCCATCCCAGGGCTTCTATCAGTCCCTGGTCTGGGGCACCTTTCACACCTGATGCACCACCATCAACTCCCTCAGTCGGGCACGTAGTAAGGAAGGCCAGAGTGACCTGCTGGGCAGCCCTGGCCCAGGCTCCGCGAGTCTCCCTTTGGGGCTGTACTGTCGACCCCTCCACCCCTCTCTCCTCCCTATGTCCCTGGTAAAACTAGTAACATTTTCTCGAACGGTGACTTCTGGATATGAGCAGACTGTTGAAGGCAAAAGTAATGGTGCTGGACCCGGGGAGGCAAGACTCTCCCAGGCCCTGCTCCCTGTTCCCTGGCTCCCTTCCCCATTGGCTAACCATCACCTTCTTTGACAAAGGTTGTGGAAAGGCAGCTGTCACGAGCTACTGGGAAGAGTCACTGGGACAAGAGCTGCTCCTAAAGCTTCAAAATAGGACCTGGAACATTTTTAGCTGTTTATCCAAACGGGAAAGAAAGGATAACGAACAGAAGGCATGGGACAAAAGGATGATTTAAAAGCCCAAGCAGGTCCTAGAAATCTCCGGAAGTGATCCCGAAGTGACTGAGAGAGAGCAACCGACAGTCTTCAAAACCCAACGAAAAACACTGGGGCAGCCCCAGGGAGAATCAGCACTGGGTGCCCGGCAAGCTCACCTCCATTGGACTGATGAATTCATTCATGCCCCTGTTGTAGACATAGATCATGGCGTCATAGAGGCGATTCTCCCAGCACATGAGAACAACCTGCAAAAATGAGCAGATGACCCTGGATCTGAATGTGGTGACCAAGCCAGAGGCATCCTGCATGGGAAGCAAAATCAATCAGTGAGCACTTATTAAGCACCTACTGTGAGCCAAGCCCTATGTGCTAAGTGCTGGTGAGACAACGAAAGAAGCAAAAACGGCCCCCAGCCTGAGGAGCTGACCCTCTATTAAGGGAAACTACAGGAGCACAGGCCACGCAGCAATGACTCAGTGCACACCCTCCACACCGGAGCAGAGGAAGGAGGAGGAGGCGGCGGCCAGAGACACGAAGGCGGACAGCTGTAAGACGCAGGCGGACAGCTGTAAGACACAGGCGTGAGAGGAAGGGGCCAGACGGGGCAGTCTTCAGTGACAGAGGGGCTGATGCTTGGCCCCACAGCTAATGGGCAGTGACTGGAGCTGGCTGGCCAGGGAGGTGATGCGCGCTTTGGGAAGGTCACTGCGGCAGGGTGGGAATAGGAGAGAAGCCTCTAGAGACCGGGACGATGGCCTGCACCAGCCTGGGGCGGGGTTAGAGGACAGGAAGGGGTGCGTGCAGAAGGGGCTGCAGAGCAAGAAAGGACAAGATTTCATTCAAGGCCCTGAAGCCTCGGCCCCCCTCCTTCACATCCCAACCACGATCCCAGATTTAGAATGGGAAGGGGCCTTGGGGTCTGGTCTAATCACAAAGGTTTAAGGTAATCAGAGGCAGCTGGGAGGAACCACGGTGCACAAAGCACCGGGCCTGGAGTCAGGGAGGCCTGAGTTCAAATCCAATTCAGACACTAACCGCAGACCCTGGGAAAGTCACTTCACCTCTGCTTACCTCGGTTTCCTCATCTGTAAAATGGGGATCATAACAGCACCTCCCTCCCTGGGTTGTTGTGAGGATCAAACGATCTAGTATTTGTAAAATGCTTTAGCACAGTGCCCAGCACATAGTAGGTACTCTCTAAACGTCAGCTGCCACATGACAGAACCAGGATGCCAAGGCCGGCCCCACAACACTGCATCACACTGGGGTCAGACTCAGTGATAAGGACACAGCGCTGTCACAAGTCACCTGAGGCCACCGATCAATTCTACTGGAGCCATCAAGCCCGGCCTTAGCTTCTTACTTGCCCAAAGTCACTACACTTAAGGCCAAGCATTCCCAGAGAATTCAGCGATCAAAGGGGAGTGCTCTCAGTGAGCCGAGACTCCATCAGCTTGTGCACCTTCTGCACCCGAGGCTGTGACTGACACTGTGCATGGTGACATGAGGGAGGAAATGACAGAGGGCCTGGGTCCTGCCCTCAAGGGCTTACAGTCTGACTGGAGGGACCGAGCCAGTAGGAAACAAGCCAGTCATATTACAGAGAACGAAACCGTAACTCGGGTTCCGTGACATCTAGAGGGTTACCCAGTGCTGTCCTCACAGAAGGAAGCGCAGCGTCGTTATTTCCATTTTACAGATGAGAAACCCAGGGACTCCAAGAGAGGGGTCACTCCAGGAAGGGACTCTGGACTTGGCTTTCTTCTCTCCCTGCCACTGATGTGCTACGTGGTCTCGGGCAGGTCACTTGACATCTCAGGGCCTCAGTTTCCTCACTGGTAAAATGCAGGGGCTGGGCAGGGTGATGGCTCAAAGCCCTGCTGCCCCAACAGTCTAGAGCATCTGAGACTTGCCCAAGGCTGAGGACTCCAAGGGCAGAGGCCTTTCCAATGGTTTCACTTCCCCAATTCTCTTGCCCGCGAATGGTACAAACAGAATGTAAGAAAGCAGAGGGGCTGGGGGCACACCCAGAGCCACGCCACTCCCCTCCGCCTGGCACTCTGCTTCACGCCCCTGCAACCTAGGATTCCTCCCCACCAGGCCCCCCAGCCCTCTGACCTCACCCTGCTTAGGCCTCACTTTCCTCCCATCACAGTCTGACTCTATGGCCGGCTGGGTCCAACAATACTCTGGATTCCTTCAGCACCTTGCCAGTTGGTGCTCTCCCTTTGCCATCTGCCAACCAGGCATTACCACTGTACGCCTTCTCCATGACCATCCTTGGCCTGCTGAATGCTGCTGGAGGAAGCCACGATCGTGCCAACTCAGGCCATGGCAGCGCCTCCTCCCCCACCCTCTTCTTCCTCTCTCTGCAGAGAAACCAACCTCCTCTTTTACTGGGGGGGGCACCCTCCCCTCCCCTTGCCAACAGCTCTAAACCCTTCTGCGTCACCCCCTTCCCGGTCTCATCTTCTCCTCCTTTGCTCCAGGCTCTAACAAAGAGACAGCCCCCCGCAGTGCCAAGGCCTGCTTCTCTCCTCGGGCCCTGATCTCCTCCCCTGCCCTCCCCCTTCCTTTGGGAGCATCGTCCTTTGATCAGCCCTTCTGTTCCCTCAGCTTCAACACTCATTATCAAGCAGTCTCTTCCCTGCTGCCTGCAAACAGGCCCAGGCCTCACCCATCCTAAAAACACCTAAGAGTTTTTCACCTTCACTTTGACCCCTCTGGCAGGCTGGTGAGGCCTAGGGACCCCTTCTCAGAATCACGCTTTTAATTGCATAAAATAAGATACATAGGAAACCAATCATATTAAAATACAGTTATTAAAATATTTTAGGGGCAGCTAGGTGGTGCAGTGGATAGAGCACCGGCCCTGGAGTCAGGAGGACCTGAGTTCAAATCTGGCCTCAGACACTTGACACTTATTAGCTGTGTGACCCTGGGTAAGTCACTTAACCCCACTGCTTAGCAAAACAAAACAAAAATAAAATAAAATATTTTAAAAACAAAACAAGCAGCTTCTTGAGCCCAGGTTAATAAGTAAGATCCTTGTTCTACAGGAAGCCTTTCCTGACCCCTGACAATGTCTGCCACATACCCATTTCCCCCTCCCCAACATACACACACTGACCTATTGATTTCATAGAATCTTGTACACACTTATTTATGTAAATGTCACCTCCCTTGACAGAATGTAAGCTCTCCTAAAGGCAGAGATTGTTTCCTTTTGTCTCCATGTCCCCAAGGCCTAGGCAAACAGTAGGCACTTAATAGATACAGATGTGTCCACACTATACCCCTCCCTGTGGTGTACTGGCCCCTGAGGGCAGACGCTACCGTATTTACTTCGGGTCTGTCACACAGTAGCAGGCATTCAAGATGGCGGAAACGCACCGAACTCTAACTCACCTGTTGTATGTCCAGGCTGGTGATGTCCATATGCACAATCAGGGCCTCCACATTTTCCATCAGCTTTTTATCTTGGAAGTGAATGAGCAAATCCTTCATCACCTGGGCTGTGATTCCCACCAGCTGGTCACTTAAAATGTAAGGCTCCAGGCACTCCAAGAAGACCCCCTTGGCCACGGAATTCTCACTGAATTTGTCATACATCTGGCTAAATAAGAGATCCCTGTAACGGAAGGGGAGAAACAATTGTTCTCAGCAGAGTTCCCCAACAGCGGCTCCCACTTTCCTGCCTCGCTCTCCTTGGCCTTGGGGATCCCCAAACTACCACAAGATGAGGCCTTTTCCAGATCTCCCCTCCTCTCCACAAATTACTCTACATTTATCCTGTATCCATGCCGCATTTACTGATTGTGCATGGTACACCCTCCAGTAGAATGGAAGCTCCTGGCAGGCAGGCACTGCTTTTGTACTGACAGCTCATCCCAAGGCCTGATGTCCAGCAGGCCTTTGACCTATCCATCAACAGCAAACCTTCCAGGAGCTCCTGTCTTAGCTCCGTTCTTGAGGAAGAGTCTGACTCTCCCTGATGAATGTCTCATGGTTCTGCGCCCCCACTCCATGCAACATACGCACAGTCAGCTTCCTCCAGGAAGCCCTCCTGACTTCCCCACTTGTTAGCGTTTCCTCCCCCAGATGACCCACTCTGCCTTCATATAGCAGTATACTCATTTCTCCTTGAGCACTGAAATTATTTGCCTTTTGTCTTTGTTTTCCCAGAGCCCAGCAGGTACCGGGCACACAGGAGGTGCTTAATAAATTCTTTTTGAATATGTCTATCTGTGAGCATAAAAGTTCAACTGTTTTTGGACCGAGCCCGTGACCTCACGGGTAAGGGACCTCCATGTGATCATGGACCCTCCCTGTGCCAATGCAGGCAGGGATCTGCCTGTCACCTGGAAACCTTAGGGTGCTGCAGTCAGTACGGGTCTAAGGCAGGCCTCGCGCCCTGACTTCAAGGCTGGTACCCTCTCCGCTATCCTATGCCATTCCTCTGATACACTGAATAAATGAAAGAATCGTCATCCTTGGGAGAAAAATCCATTTGTTTTTCCTAAGACACACCAACAGAACTTCAGAATTCACTTTTCTTTTGCTTCACACTTAAAGGGAAACTTTCCCTGCTAGTTTATTTTTTAATCAAAATGTTCTCGGCCCATCGGCCTTCGGCACAGCCTGGGAGGTGAGACGCCTGAAGGGGCAGGGGCCCTAAGAAAAGCCCGAAGAGTAATGAGGGGCCAGGAATCTCAGGGGAGGCTGGGCTGGTTCTCTCTGGGGCTGGGAAGCATGTGATGAAAAAACGAGCTGGGGAAGCTAATGACATCCTTCAGCAGCGAGCACAAAGCCCTCGGGAGGCAGGCGAGAGATTCAGAAAACAGAGGAACCAAGGCGGCTCAGAAAGCACCTTTGTGAGGAACAAAAGCCCACCAGGGTGGCAAAGACAAAGAGGGGGCCTGGGCTCCAGCATTAAATGCTATGGCAAAGGAGAGAGGGAAGAAAGAGTCCAAGTCATTCATTCTGAGCATGCTGGAAAACACCGAGGGCTAAAAAAGCAGCCGCCACCACCACCAACCCCCTTTCTGCCTCACCCTCTGAGATGCCACTGCCCAAGCTTGGGCCTTTGGTACCAGGCAGAGCAGACCCGACCATGCACATCTGCCCTCAGGTTGGTGCACCAGGCAATCAGACCCAAACCCTATGGGCTCTGGCAGAGACTGTCTTTCTGAGGACCCCTGCCCCCTCTGCTAAGCCTCATTCCACTTAATCTCTCCATTAGAGACATTTCAAGGCTCACGAGCTCACACAGTTAGGGACTGAGCAAGAAATGGCCAAGGTCAAGCCGAGTGTACGTTACTTCTACACAAATTAGCAATGCTCTGGAAAGAAGCCATTTGGGCATTGTTCATTAATTAGGCTAGAAGTTACTCGCGTACAGAGTCTGAGATTTATCCTGAAGAAGATACAGAGTTCAGAGAAGACACAGGAGAAGCCCTCCTGGAGCTTGCAGTCTAGAAAGGGGTTAAGATATAAAGGAAGAGAATCACAACACACAAGAACATACACTAAGCTCAACAGAGAGGAATCAACCCGCTATGTGAGGTCTGGTGCAAGAGGCAGAATTTTAAGCTGACTTCAAAGAACAAAGAGGAAAAGTCAAAACCATCCTGAGGTTTCACCTCGAACTCAACAAATCAGCAAAGATAGCAAAAGGAGCAGCCAATGTTGGAGAGATGTGGGAAGATCACTGGTGCATTGTTGGTGGAGCTGTGAATCAGCAGAAAAAATGTGGAATATTATGCAAATAAAGTTAGTAAAATGTCTGTACCCTTTGGCCCAGAGATTCCACTTACAGGGCTTATATCCCAAGGAGGCCAGTCCCCACACACACCAAAATATTTATAGCAGCACTTCTGGGGGCAACAGAGAACTAGACACAAAGCAGATGCCTCCTGACTGGAGAATGTGACTGAGTCTAAGTAATGAGCATGAGGAAGACAGAGAAGCTCGGAAAGATTTACATGACCTGACGCAGAGGAAGCAAAGGAGATACCACACACAGTGACTCTAACGACATAAATGGAAAGAATGCCCGCCACCAAATGACTGAAAGGGAAAGTTACCAGCCAGACCCCAGGGCTGCCCCCCACCCCGACCCCGCCCTTACGGGAGCAGGAGGTGAACAGGAGGAGAACGCTGCACAACTTTTCTCATTTTTTCAGGATATTGATTGGTTTTTTCTCCCTACTTTTCTTATTAAAAGATATTCTTTGTTCTACAGGATGGCTCTATGGGAATGGGGTGGGGGGAGAGGGACACATGGGAATGTGGGTAATGTTAAACAAAAGATACCAATAAAACTTATTTTTAAAAGATGAGGGGAATTCACTAGGCCATGAAGGGGAGGAAGGGCATTCCAGGCACGGGAGCAGCGTGAACAAAGGTGTGGAGGTGGGAACGTGTGTTCAGAAGACAGGGTGGAGCACAGAGTGCAGAACTGGAGGGGAGTAAAATGAGATAAGGCTGGAAAGGAGGGTGCTAGGAGGGACCCTGAACACCCATCAAAAGCTCCTGTTTCACCTTCATGTGGGTAACCAAGGACGAATTTTAGCACAGGCGGGTAACCAACGAGATCTCTGGCTCTACCGCTCACATTCGCCAAGGAAGCAAAAGTATTCAGGGGCCCCATGTGGCTGCCCTCTTATACTGAGAAGCACATCTGTTGTGTAGTTGTTTCAGTTGTGTCCGACTCTGTGGGACCCCACTTGGGGCTTTTTTGGGCAGAGATACTGGAGTGGTTTGCCATTTCCTCCTCCAGTTCATTTTACAGATGAGGAAACTGAGGCAAACAGGGTGCAGTGACTTGCCCAGGGTCACCCAGCTAGTGAATGAGGACACATTTGAACTCAGGGAGAGGAGTCTTCCTGACTCCAGGCTCGGCACTCTAAGCACTCTGGCGCCCCCTAGTGGTCCCGAGAAGCATTAACTCACTCCCCCTCCCATTCCTCACATCAACTTCCAAATCCAAGTTGATTTCACAAAAGCCAAAGAGGTTATGCAAGTGTTTGCTATGCACTTGCAGCAGAAAGGCTCAGGTGAGGATGAAATGGTCGATATGAAGAAGAAAAGGGAAACAGGAGAGAAAAGAAATTGATCACCAGCCAAGTTCCAGTTGTCTCCTCCTCATCAAAATGACCAACTCTGAACAGTGCACGCCCCACCCCCAGGCCACCCAAGTCAGGAAGGCAGCTGCAGCCCTTGACCTGGGGTCTGGAGTGCAGACTCACATTGGACAGGAGCCTCTCTGGTGCAGCAGTGGGTGGTCTGCAGCCGCCTCTGCCTGGCTGCTCGTAGACGCTCGTGGGGGACAGGGGCTACATCTATAGAGTATCTAGCATTTAAAAAAACACTCAGAACTGTGTTTACTCACACTGATTATGGGTTAGGTGAACTCCGTCTGTGGCTCTGAGCTCAAGGTTCTATATTTGAAATGGTAAATCATTAAATTCTCTGTAGAAAGCCCTGAGGCATTTTCTCTTCTGAGCTAACAACCCCCAGCCCCTAGTATCCTTAATAGAAAGATGTCTTCATACTGTCTTTTAAAAAAAGAAAAGAAGGAAGGAAGGAAGGAAGGAAGGAAGGAAGGAAGGAAGGAAGGAAAGAAAGAAAGAAAGAAAGAAAGAAAGAAAGAAAGAAAGAAAGAA